GTCATCGAATAAACAGGAAACTAGGTCTGCCCTTTTCCAAGACGTTAAGGGTGTTCCATTGTCAGGTCAAGAAGAAACGATAGGCTCAAAAGATGGGTTGAGCATTTCCAGCAGCTGATAAATGACTACCCTCCAGAGTCGCTATTTTCGGCCATTAAATCTCAGCAAACACAATAGGTTAGTGAAAATCCACCCACAAAACTTAAAATCCAAGAAGTCTTTCAACACGTCAAGGTTAAGAAGGCGTGTGGGTAAGTCGAATTCCTTTGGAATTAATTAAGCATGGTGAAACGGGAATGGTAGAAAAGCCTTTCGCCATGTTTCATCAAATAGAAAGCAACAAACGTTTCTCAAGAGAACGGAAGTGTGGGGTAATTGCTCTCATTGTTAAACGAAGCCGTATGACCAAGTATTTTATTTATCATGGTATCGCAGTACTGACAGGTTCCGGTGCTATGCTGCAAAGACATTGCTGTTTCATAGAAAGTAAGGTAATATTTGACTCATTACATCGTCCTGTGATATGGAAAATCTTCCTGTGTTATGAGATACCTGCATATATTATTCTACATATTGTTCTACTTTGGATGAGATGTATACAGGAACTGCATCTGCTGTGTAAGAGAGTTGCCTAAGTTGTTCAATATTAATTGTGTAATTTGCCAAGAGGATGTGCCTTCGCGTTTGTTGTTCAACACTGTTCTCGCATTTTATCTATAACAGTGCTAACCCTGGCAAAAACAAAGTTTCATTCAAGAGGGCAAACGCAAGTCAAGATATCTTGTCAGATAAATTGCTGACCTGGGCTACACAGATAATGGTATTATGTTGAGTAGTACGGGAAGCGGATTCTGTCTCCTCTAGGCTTCCGCAAGCCTGAAGACTGAGCCTTAGATGTTTATGCTTAAGTCGATCTTCATCCCCATATTCATCTACGATTATGAGTTGTGGATAAGGACTGAAAATTTGGATCCTATCGCTGCACTTATGGGTCTCGGCATGGTCTGGATTTTGTATACCACAGTGAGTCTTAGTGTTCAGCCCTGCTTCTGCAAATTGAGAAGTGACAGCTACAATATTTTGGCAAGCCCTTCGAATGCTTCCAGAAATGTAGGCGAAACAGTTCCTATTTGTTGAACCGATCACTGAAAACTCCATAGACGCAAAGAATGTTGTGGGCAATTTTCTCGAAGAACTCAGTTAAATACGCGGGTTATCTTCCTGAAACTGCAACCCTGGCAAGTGATTGGAAATGTTGAAAAATTGCGTAAAGTGTTTGCCTCCGCCATCAACAACGATGAATAGTCATTGAAAGTGACCAACTGATGAATACAGGAAGCAAATGGGTCCATATTGTCGTAGCCACAGCACTGGCGAGGAGACAACACTTACAACAGGTAGAGATCTGATTATTATCACAGCTACATCAATCTTTACCTCGAATGAAGCAATGCTACTTCTAAGCCTGTCCAATTGTAAAAAGTTTAAAACTTGATTGTAGTCCAGCGACATTAGCATCCAGAACAATGAGCAACATAAACTGTACTGTTTCACTGAAAGAAACAGTGTATATAGTTGCACATTTTACGTGTCTTATCTAAATTAGAGCCTCAAGCACTGCTGTCTATTCATTAATCACTAAATTAATTGCGTCTTTGTCTCAGTGTTAGATGGGAGGTAAAATGCGTACCCGTCAGACGTAAGGCATAGTCTTTCAATTCAACAAGCGATAGAGATAAACGCACAGAATTAGGTAATGAATTCATTAATCAATGCCAATGAATCATGGCATGCCATTTGATGCATTCCTATTTGAGGAACTACTGAGTAAGAACGTTCAAGTGAGGATCAGGAATACTTATTCTTTCATGAATGTGAGAAATTCCTATGCTTTACGACAAATTGCTGAAAATTATTACCACAACATCATTTTCTACTCACCTGTAAGAGAAAGTAATTAGTGTTCTGGCGACTGTCTTCAGTTCCTGATTGCTTCCGTCTCCACCCTCTCAAAGTGTGCTTCCTTTACTATACTGCCTAGTAATTACTAATTCTATTGTTAAATAGAAAAGACACATCATTATGATGCTAAGCTCATGTGCCACTTTCTTGTCTGAAAAAGTGGATTCCCGAATTTTCTCCTGTTACGCCATTTGTTCCTATAACATATTTTCCGACTTTGCTGAT